CCCAGTTTCTTACGCTTGAAAAGATCATAGGTAATGTAGGGAGAACCTAATTTCAAAGACCGTTTCCTTTGCTTTTCCTTGTCCCAGGGGTAGAGCCGCAGCTCTGCAGACATGTCGATCGGCGTGCCCATCAAAGTCCTGCACGAGGCGGAAGGCCACATCGTCACATGTGAGACCAACACAGGAGAAGTCTATCGGGGCAAGCTTATCGAAGCTGAAGACAACATGAACTGTCAGGTATAGCTGCCTCTGGTGGAGGGAAGGGAGGCTGTCTCGTCTGTGCCAGGAAAGGTTGATAGCTAGCTTATTTGTGTTTTGATTTAAAGACTATTATTTTTAGTCTAAGGATTAAAAAAAAAAAAAACCCTGCTGCTGCATGCCTACGTTGTAGTGAAGTGGACTCAGGATTGCTGAATGCTCTAAAGAGCGCAGAGTTTGTTCTTTTAGGGTTTAAAGCAGGCCTGGGAAGTCTTGTCAATAGCATTAGGGTTTTTTAAGACTTTGTTCTATGGACAGTGTTTCTACTGGAGTCTTTCATTTTATTGCTCTGGGCTTAAGATTAAACAAACCCTTATTTGAGGAAACTGAAGGGGTTTTTTGTGTTTTTTTTAATGCACATGACTTCAGGCATCCCAAGCGGGCTTAATTTTGGTTGACTTTGGATAGAAATCATGTTGTCTTAAGTATTAAGGAAGCATTTTTATTTGAACAAGTAAAGCTTTTTTAAAAGTGACTTAATGTGAGAAAACAGAACTGAGTTGTGTTTTTCTAAGAGTTTGTTCTGGCTCATACTGGGGTGAAGATAAAAACGCTGGGCCTGCTTGACTAATAGGCTTAGCATTATGTGCGAAAGGTCCTGGATACCTTGTGTCACAATGCCAGTCAAGATGACAGTACTTGGAAGGTTCTTGGCTTTGGTACTTGAATCTTGGCTCTGTGTTTGTTTGCACTGTTTTGTAAGTAAACTATGCAATTTTTCTGCTCTGTTGCTGTATTTTGCTTATGTGTATTCCTCTAAATCAGTTGCATACTGTATATTGTGATTAGCCAAAGAAAATCAGATGTAACTTACTCTGATTGTGTAACAAAGAAGCATACAAACACAAGTGAGGTAAAAATTGCATGTACAGTAGTGTCTTTTTTATTAGAATAATCATGGTTAATGTGCTTTTGGTTTTTTTTGTGCCTGCGTAGTTGGTATTCTGCTGATGCAAGCCTGTCAACTTGCTGCAACTTCTGAAAAGCTTCCATTGGCTCTAAAAATCTCAAAACGGACCTAGAAAGGCTTTCTGTTGAAACGACTAGTACTTGACCCAGATAGTTTTTACTCGGAGGAGTCTGAGTCAGAATAGTGAAAGCAAGAGAAACGGGAATACTGAATTGTGTTGGAGGCCTCTGTAAGCACTGACTGATCTTTTACCTTCCAGATGTCCAACATAACAGTGACGTACAGAGATGGACGAGTGGCACAGCTTGAACAGGTGTACATCAGAGGTAGCAAGATACGGTTTCTCATTTTACCAGATATGTTGAAGAATGCTCCTATGTTAAAGAGCATGAAGAATAAAAACCAGGGTTCTGGTGCTGGGCGAGGAAAAGCAGCTATTCTCAAAGCTCAAGGTGGGTACTCCTTGTTTGTGGACCTCCCTCCTTCCTTGCCTTTAGCGTTTTGCTATGGAGGAACAGGAAAATGTTCACCTATATCATTGAGGAAACAAACAACATAAGCAGAATGATTAGTGGTTCATATATTGTTGGGGTTTTTTTTCCTCCTATGTATTTTTTCTTCAGTGGGTGTCAAGACTCAAATTTCCCAATTATCAAAATGAGCAATACTGATATGTGAAGATAATTTACACGTAGCAAGTAGTCCTGGTAGAGTTATACTGAGGCTTTACATTCATCTTCATTTTGGTGTTTTTCAGTGAATGTGGTCACTGGCTGTTTGGACCACTTGGAAAAGGAGCTAAGTGTTCTTCTTAAGCTTTTGTGGAAAAAATGATTCAGATATTAAGATAATACTTGGGAAGTTGTAACTACTAGCCACTCTACAGTTCTCCCTCATTAGCACTTCTCTTATGTGAGCAGTGTAGTTATAACAAGTTTGAGTAATACTCGTGGGCTGCAAAGTCCTTCGTTAACTTTAGCAAGTGTAGTGAGTGTGCGTGGGGGAGTAACACCTGCTGGAACATATTGAGTTCTGTTGCAAAATCTTAGTGTGAGGTTTTAAACATCAGTGAAATCTCTGGCACAGCAACTCTACCATGATAGAAATCTCCTGTGGTAGAGATTTGTGCGTCAGATTGGAATGAACACAGAATGTATTAATAGTTCATTCTCATCTCTGTATATACTGTGTTTCAAGTGCAAGACTGTGTAACAATTCGTCCTGGTTCTTCTCACAGAACGCTTTTTTTTTTTTGTGGTAAATCACCTTCTGAACTTTGCAGGATAGCCTTGTTTCGTTGCTGCTAAGCAAGAGACTTTGAGAGACGTTTATGTTTGATTTCTCATTTGCTGAGATAAAGATTCATGTCATCCCTAATGTTTTCTTTCTTCAGTGGCTGCGAGAGGAAGAGGCCGTGGTATGGGCCGTGGCAACATTTTCCAGAAGCGAAGATAATTTGGGTCTTGACCGACAGGCTTTTCTTATTAGGGGGTATTAACTTGTCTACATGTGCATTGGTATAAACTTTGTTTAATTAAATAAATATTTCTGACAAAAATGTTGTCTGCTGTTGTATGACAGGACTGCTTAGACGCATCAAAGTTCTGGCTTCTTTCTATAGCTGGGAAATGCATTGTAGGTTGATGTTAAACTTAGAACTGCTTTGGACAAGAGGCCTTGGTACCCAGATTTCACCTCACTGCATCTTTTTATATGATGCATTGAGTTTTAGAAGGTTATCTTATTTCCCTTCTCCTGCTCAATCCTATTGTCATTGACTCTCTAAAGAGGAATTAGAAGGCATTCTTGATGAAGAATTTCCAAATCGAGTGTTTTAAGCGAGTCTTACTAGCTGCTGCATTAATGGAACATGCAGCCAAACAGAGGTGACTTCCTGAGAAGCAAAACGCTACTTTTGTTTCTTATGAACCTATAATAGGTATAGGTCCATGTTAAGAGCTGTATATTGAGCTTGTATTGTTGTGTTTCATGTTCTTAACCTTTGGATACAGGGAAAATTTTTCATTAGGAATGTGCATAACTAATATTTGATAGGCTATTCTAGCCTGAGGTCAAAGATTCAATTCTAACCATTTTAACAGTTCAGGTCATTCCCCCCCTGCCTCAAGAGAAGTTCATTGACAAAATACAAAGTACTTACTTTTTTGAGGATAACTTCAAAATGCTTTGTGAATCTAAAAGCTATTGTGAGTGTATAGTGAAAGGGTTGTATTAATGATTATCCATTAAATATGACTCTATACAAAGACTAATCTTTTGAACAAGACCCGGGACTAATTTTAGCTGTAGTCTTAACTTCTGTGCACCATCATATAGATCACCAGGTGATCTGCAAGAAGCTATTTTCATTAAAGCTTTAGCTTGTTTTGCTAAAAGTATGGTGTAGTTGTTCTCATTGCTGACTTAAATGGTTGAAATGTTTAAATTGAACACTTCTGTACCTAATCGTTTGCGTACATGGGATGAATTGTCAATCTGTGCCTGTATCAAATAGCTCTTCTTGCTTTCTGCTCTGATGCTGTAGAGACTTTCCCTTGTGTGCAGATACGGAAGTTCAACTTAATGCATTAACTTGTTGCATTGTCTGTAAATAAAGCATTGAGCACAGATTCTTAGAAAAAACTGATACATTTTCTTATGCTGTGTAGTCATGATCCTAAAGATTTGCATTGGAAACATAAATCAAAATGTGTTTAAGTTGTGCTTGGGATAACTATAAAAACATTTTAATGCTTTCTTATGCTTAAATTGAGATTTTCAGTAAAGCTTTTCTTTAGGGCTTGGCTGTAACTACAGGAGCTTGTCCAAAATCGGTTCATGGAGACAGTTTTTGCAAAATCCTGTTCCAAAACATGGCTTGGGAGCCATGCTTTATTCATATAGCAGTCATGGTTTCCTGAAGGCAGTATTTCCATCTTAAAGTGAACACTTAAAGGAATTTAGTAATGCTATTTAAACTCTTCTTGTGGAAAGCTGGTATTTCTCAAATTCCCAGTCATGCAAAAGAGAAGCCTGACTAATAGCAGTTGATCCAACCATTCCCCTCAGACAGTACCTGTACATAAAGCACTGGCAAGTAAAAGTGCACTGATCTGTATGCAGAGTATGACCTTTCTGATGGTTAGTAGAAATGGCTGTTTGTACTTTTTGGAGCTCTTCAGTAATCAGCTTAGCTCTAACTCTTCCTGTGGGGGAGAGGACATCTGTTCTCTTCACAGAACTTCCCTCCACCTGCCTTAGTAAAGGCTTCTGCATTTCACAGACTGTTTTGAGGCAGACCATCTTAAAATAAAGTCCTTTTTGAATCTTTGTAATAAGAAACCGTTCTGTATGCTTAGACTGTCATTGGGTTTTAACATAAAGGAGAAGAGAGTCCTGTCTTATTGCTCTACCATGAACTTCATAGTGAAAGTTGGAGTGTCTGCTTGTGGTAGTCACTTGCTGATTCCTGTGATCTCTGGCAAGGGGTTGGTAGGTGAGATTAGGTATGTTCTGTTGACATCCGACAGCTTTGCTTGTTGCTAGATGGTGACACCTGAGATGTCCCCAATCACTAGCAGATACCCTTGTATCCACTTGAAATAGGAATGTCCTTTATTTGCGGTCTGACTGATTTTATTGCTCTTAATACATCAGGCTTGTATTTGTGATGCTAATCTAGTCTGAAGTTTGCATAATGGAGTTTACTGCTCTCAACAGCAGAACAAGGCTGGCACAATGCATTTGTATTTTCTGTATAACTTGAGGCAAGTATCTGCTGCCAGGTCTTAGAGGATGCTGCTCCAACAGGTCAGATTACTTCTCTTTCTAAGACAAATACCTAATAAAAACCTGAAATTGGTTAGTTCCATTGATTAGTTTCTATGAAGATAACTTAGCATAGGATGGAGTGCATGTGTTGAAGGATAGTAACTTTTTTTTCCATTTACAAAAAAAGTGTCAACCCGGTGGTTCTTAATGTACAGTGAGTGGCAAAGGATGTTACTATTACCTTGTTTAGTAGAAGGAGAGACAAGAGGTGCAGCTGTAGTTTAAGCAAAGAGAAATCACTTTGCCAAAACCATTTGGGGTCTGACCTCCCTGTAATCTCCAGGGAAAGCACTGAAGCTTGCTACATCTTTTTTTGCAGGGACTATCTGGTACTTCCCAGACTTCAGAGCTTTGCTTCCTTTCTCTTTAAAGTCTCCGGAAAGAATTATTAATATATGGAAAAGGAAGTAAGTCACAGATCGGGACTTGACTAACTTTTTTTTTTTTTTTTCCTTCTCTCCCCTCCCCGCCCCCCCGAAGAGATGCAATATTTTGGCAAGGCTGCAGATGTGGTCCATCAGCTTTGTTTCTCGCTGCTTCCTTTTGACGGTTAATAAACCTGTGGCCTTTCCCCAAAGTTACCTGCTAGCTTCTTTTGCAGAGGGCAGGGGGAAAATGGCACCCATTTTGACTGCAGACAAGACAGCTATTGGAACGGCAAAGGTTTTGAAACACGCAGGGGATCCCTAAAAGACAGCATGAAAATTAAACGCTGTTTAGCCAAGCTAGAGCTGCTGTGCAGTAACAGGCTCGTTGAGGATTGCTTTTGCAAATGATGATTGGCTAACCTTTTTAAATATTTTTAAAAGTTCCTGTTCCTCCTTCCTGTGCAATACCAAGCTTCTGCTCTCTCCTTTGAGATCCCCTCTCTGCCCCAAAACGCTTGAGGTATATATCATTCGTTCAGCAGAGCTGAGGGCAGAGAAACAACAAGGAATTTCGGAGAGGAACAGGAGCTTTCCCGCCTAGATCCGAGTGTTGGAACAAACTCTCCAGTGGATCTGCTTTAAGAAGTTTCTAGCCCTGCAGCTGTTTCTCACCCTCTTTGTTTATGACTGTCCACTGAGCATGCATACAGGGCAATAAAACTGCTTTTAAAAACTTTTTTTTTCTAAATAGCATTGCCTTAGCTTTTAAGTTTTACTTAAAACAAATAACAGCTCTAATCCGGGTCAGCTTTGAAGAAGATACTGGATTTTGCATTAGCAAAAACCTTTGCACCATGAGTTCAGACTAAGCCTGTTTACCTTCTGCAGAAAGAAAAGGTATTAGGAATTAAGTGTTGAGAAGTTGTAAGTTTCACCAGTAGGAATTTCCTACACCAGTAGGAATTTAGGCCCCAGCCAAGACAACCATATCACTTAGCAACGTTTTATTAGTTAACTACAGTCTGACTAGCCTGTAGCTGATGCACTAGTTTGTTACAGGCTGCTTTGAAGAACCAATATGTGATTTACGTATTATCCTGACTTAACAGTGCTATGAATCAAACCTCCATTCTAACAAACGGTATGTCATCCACTAGATGGCTCTGCCGCTAAAGAGAATAAAATACATAAAAACAGAACCCTCTGCAAGGAAAAAATGGAAGAAATGTGTCTTCTGGTATAAAATCCACAAACACACTGCCATTACAAACTCTAGCACGCAAGCTCTCAGCTTCTTTTCTTTCCTCTTTACTTTCCCAGCGTGCTGGCTTCATTTGCAGCCAGGTTATTCCAAGTGCTGCTTGACCCCCAGACGCTGTGCACGGCTCCCCAGCGCTGGGCTAGCTGAGCACGGGCACTTAGGTAGGTAGTGCCGATTCTTCTAGTTCAGTTACTTGAAGTGATCTGTTTCTCTGGGTTGCAGGGTTCTCTGGATAGATAAGGTAGCATCTACCCTTATTTGCTGCCTTTTTGTCACAGATTGCAGCACTTCTTTTCATTCTTCGTTGCTTGCTCTTTGTGCGTGGGGTTGGGAATCTCTTCCTGTGCAATGGGTTCAGAGCTCGCTGTGGCTTCCTGCTGCTCACGGGAGAGACTCTTACTGGCCTGAAGCTTTGACATGAACTTATGCCTTTGGTATAACCTGCGTAGATGCCTTTGAAGTACTTGTGTAGGAGGCAGAGAGGCTACAGTGCAGCCATACAAAGTGAGGAGCAGAAAGTAGGGAGGAGACAACAGCAGAGAGGAAAGAAATGGTCGGGGAAGGTATCACTTGAAAAAACTGCTTTGCACAGAACTGTGGGACTTTTCTTCACCGACCAGGTGCTTTCATCCCATGCGTGAGCAGTTCTGCTCTCCAGGTGCGTCTAGCTTACATTTGATCCTAAAGCTGAGTTCTTTTCTTTAGTTCATTTTCCAAGGGTACTCTGTAAAACACCAGCCTGAGAGGTATTGTGTTATGACTGAGGGAGGCTGGGAAGGGATGCTGTGCGGATGAGATAAGTGACAAGCTGTGGTCTCTCTTCTCAGAGAGTAATTACATGCCCCATTGTAAAAGCCCTGCTCTCCAGGGTAACAGAGGTTGGTTTATATCAACTCTCAAAATTACAGGTGAGAGAGGCAGCAGCCTCTTAATGTCTTCACTCGAACAGCAAAAGCCAGGAAGTAAGGGAAGTGGCGCCTAGAGCTCCAGTGCCCTCCAGAAAACCTCTTCCAGGAGGGCAGAATGGAGTGAAGGACATGAATTTCTGGAGCCGGTGGTCAGGGTAACTGTCTAGGCTACATCTCACTGCTACTTAAAGCTCCACACTGAGCTTTCATGCAGAGTAATGGCCTGTTTTCTCTTGCCAGTATAGCATGAGCAGGGATGGGAGGCTGACATCCCAACAGAGTAATGACTCGGTAAGACAGCAAAGGGTGGCGTTCTGAGGTCTGCAAGAAAATGCCAATGATTTGGTTGTTCGCTACTCAGCCAGGGGTTAAAACAGAGGAAGGGTTCTCCCAGCGTTCCTCAGCGTTTCCATGCTCACAAACGCAAAAATTAAGGTCTGGACTTGCCCAGTCTTGCAGCTAAGCTAATTTCTGACAATAAGGCCTGGTACTCCTCCTCTGAGATTAGATAATACTAACTTCTTGGGGCCCTCCTGCTTTCACTGTTTTTGGGGAAGAAATACAGATACACCAGCTTTAAAACATGGCCTAGAATAGTCTTGCAACAAATGCTAGTGTGGGCGCTGTGTTGGAGAGTGCTTTGCAAGCGAGGTGATGATGTTCCCCAAATTCCCATCCTCTCTGGGAACAGATCACAGCTGCGGACAGAAGAGGAGCCATGCAATTCCAAAGTGCCGGTGCCTGGGGTAGCCAATGCGCTGCTCGTCCGCAAGTATGTGGCCAGGTCAAGCTGCATTTTAACTTCTTCAGGTGTCCTGTTGTTACCTGATCCTGTAACAATACTTCTTGGTAGTCTCACGGGTACCTTGGAGGTAATGAATGGGGAAATGCTACCCCCTTCTGCTCGTTCTAGCTGATCCTCAAAGATGAGAGGTGGGATAATTTAACCCAAGTTAAGTGTGGAGGCTGAGGTACAGCATGACCAGTAGGCTTGTTTTTTTTTTTTACTCTACCTGACTCAGATGTTTAATGACAAAAGTATCTAGTTTCTGTGTGTGAATTGGTCATTCCTAGTAGACAAGCTATTAGTCCTGGCTTGGGGCCAGTCATTGCATAAGCCAGCATTGTGCAGCTCTCTGCTGCTCCGCAGAGACTATCGAATAGGAGTCCATGAAAAGTGGAGGTTTTCCAGCATCATTAATTCAGGGGAGAATGCTGAAGCCCTGGCTAAGAAACAGATTTTATCCAGAAGATACGCGTAG